AAACAAAACAAAAAGTAGATTAATAAAATTTTGAATGTAAGTCACTAAAACCTCATGACATGCTGCAAAGGATGCCTGTGATGATAGGGTTAATACATGAATACTACAGACATTCATCCGTCTGTTTTAAAAATCCCACTATGTTGGAAAAATAGCATTTACTAATAATATTTAATTGCTTCATTTTAAAAATGTGGTATATATATATATATATATATAAAACATCTAGTTTATGTGAGATTGATATAGGAGGCAATTGGTTTAAAACCTTGTATGAAAATTAAAAGTATGTAGGTCTATCATGAAGTGATGGCCATCGTAACATACATACCTTTGTAACCAGAACTCTTTGTTTTTCTTATGCTGGTTTTTACATCTAGTCTGATAGATACTCAGATGATGATGATATTGTAGCTTATGTTTTTTCTTTCATCAGCCTAAATGTTTCAATGCATTCAGTTTTGATTTAAAAGGGAAAGATTATTTAAAGCTATGATAACTGCAATTTTTTAAAATTTATAGAACCATTGTTTTTATATATCTCACACATTTGTATTCGCCAAAATGAATGTTCTGTTAATGCAAAGCAGCATAAGTATTGCCACAAAATATTTGTAACTTCACTTTAAAGGTGTTCATTAATTTAATTGTTTTATATGTGGTAGAAGCTACTAATACATTTTAATATTACTGTTGTAACTTCATTTTAAAGGTGTTCATTAATTTAATTGTGTTTTGTATGTGGTAGCAGCTACTAATACATCTTAATACTACCATTTTTGTTTTTTGTTTTTCTTCTAAATAGGGTCTGCCAGATCCTATTAACAGTGCCTTTCATCTGACATACAACATGGTTTTGAACTTGTTGCGTGTTGAGGAAATAAACCCAGAATACATGCTGGAACGAAGCTTTTTTCAGTTCCAGAATTATGCAGCCATACCCCAGCTTTATGACAGTAAGAATTGTTTTTAGTTAATCTATGATAAATGTAAGCTACCTGCACAGTTCATAACTAAAAATCAAACCCTCCCCCCCATCTTCTATATAAATAAACATCAATATGTGTGTGTATCTGTTCTTTATACACTTCTACAATTCTTATTCAATCAGTGATACTTTACACAGTGATACAGGATGACATGAGGAAGGTCATGGGGGTGACCCCCATCTAGTTTCTTATTGGAAGAATTCTTGAAAGCAGTATGTCTTTCTTTTCAGTATTGGTGCCTTTACGTATTTTTAATGTTTATTGTGTTAAAGGGAAAAAATTGAAGCACAATTTCCTATCGTTTGTTACAAACAAGTTTCTATTTCACCCGTCCAATGGAGTGGTACTCCAGCTAGTATGTATATATATATATATATGTATGTGTGAAAAAGTGTTCATTTCAGTCATGTTTTGATGAGTCAGTTCCTTGGTGCTAGTTATTTCCCAGATACAATCGAGAGGTAAAAAGGTGTTTAACTGGCACTGTGGGATAAATTTTTATTTTAAAGTGTTAATATTTACAGTGAATGTAATTTTACATGTTTCTGTGGTATAGAGCTAAAGGAGAAGCAGGAAGACCTAGATAAACTTGTGATACCAAGAGAACAAGAAGTTTCTACTTATTACAAAATCAGGCAACAGTTGGCAAACCTGGCTAAAGAGTTCCAGAGTTACATAACCAAACCTTTGTACTGTGTTCCATACTTACAGCCTGGAAGGATGATTAAGGTATCACTTTTATATAGCTTGCTAGGTGTCTGTCAAGTCATTTTTGGTGTGGATGGAGCCTTGCCTTAGAAAGAAGTCAGATATCTTTTTTTTTTACTTATGTTTGACATTATTTGTGCACATTGACCTTGTACAGTGGCAGTATCAGAAGTATTAGTTCTTTTGTATGTATGACAAGTAACTTTTAGTATATATTTTATGCAAGTTACACATAAATCTTTTTTTTTGTATTTCCATATTAATTCTATTGAATCATGCATTTAATGTAAACTGTTATTTTAGTGTTTCTATTCTTGTTTTTACTTTATTATTAATTGAAAAATATAGAAACATGTTACTTTACCTGTATAGTTTTTTGGTTATTTGCTGTTTAGGTTTATTTTGGTTGAACTGTACCATGTTCAGTGAAGTTTCAAGCTAACTACATATTTAGGCATTAACTAATTTGTTGATGATATCAAATAATAAAGTGATATTGCTTGCTGTAATTTAAAAAAAAAATTTCACTCTTAACACTGTCACTTTTGTTCTTTATTGCAACGTAACAGTAATTTCCAGTACTTTTGGATATTATTAAAATATTCTCTGTATAATCAGGTAAAGAACGGTGAAGATGATTTTGGCTGGGGAGTTGTTATAAATTATCAAAAGAAAACATCTCCAAAGGTATGTGAAAAAATTATTTTGCTTTAAAATATAATTTTCTTCATTTTGCTGTTGCTTGAAAATGTATTCTGAAGTTTTTCACAAATGTGGTAGTAATGACAGTTTAACATTTTCGCTAGGGACATCTTTTTTTTTATGCTTACGTCACAAGATTTTAGTGAGTTAAATTCAAAATTGATTTAAAATACTTTATTATCAAGATATATGAATAAATTTGGCATCAAAACGTAGCTAAAACATGTTCGTCAAATGACTTACAACTTTTATAATGGGAATATTGGTTAGACATGGTTAAAGGGCAATAAAACAATAAAATTTAAGTATATACAGATATACAATTCTACAAGTTTAAGACTATTTAGGGTAAACAATAGTAGTTTCAAGTTACAATTTCAAATCATTCTAGAAAGAAAAAAGAATAATTTATAATTTTTTTTGGTGGTTAGAAGGTTGGTCAGACTGAACATATAGTTAAATCTGTATAGTTCACAATGTCAAAAATTATCATTCCATATAAATTATCATCACAAATTCTCAGTTCCTATGTAATTGGATACTTTGATAATGTATACAAAACTTGTAGATAATCACTTTGTGATTGTTGAATAAATCTTGTGTAGCATAAAATGTTTTCTACATTTGTGATAGTGTTTTATTTTATTTATAGGATAACCCAGCAGATGTTGAAACTACTTATGTTGTTGATACTTTACTGCATGTGTCCAAAGACAGTGCAAAAACAAAGGTAACTTCACAGTTGAAACCTCCACCCCCTGGAGAAAAGGGAGAAATGCAGGTAAAATAAAATGTTGAACCAGTTTTAAACTTTAAAAATTTGAATTAACTGTAGTAAATTGAGCTTAATTTGAAGCTGTGCAATATACGTATGTTATTGGTAATAAGAAAGATAAATTTTAATGTGACATTCAATTTATTTTTGTATGTGCAAATTGTAATTTTATCTGATATTTTCTATTTTATCAGTTGATTCATAGGGCATTTATTTCTTTAAAATTGATTGTTTCTTAACTTCTCTCATGTTGCTGGTGGTCTCTGTTTTAGTATTTTAAATATTATTTCGTTACTTGAGCCTTCTTTACTGTTTTTTGCAGGTAGTGCCAGTAATGCTACATCTAATATGTCAGATTAGTTCTGTAAGGCTTTACTACCCACAAGATCTGAGACCCTTGGACAACCGCATGTCTGTTCTCAAATCCATACAGGTCAGGTTTTAATGTTATCAAGACTTTTGCCCTCATCAGTCATATAAGAAGTACTGATACAATACCACATCAAAACATTTATAAAAGAATATATGTATTGACATAGCTTAGGATTTGTTTTTTCCATGTTCACTTGTATCTGAACTGCAAAGTGTGTATTTATGATCTTATGCAAATTTGCTTGTAATCCCTTGGATTTAGATTTTGTAATACTATTAAAGAATGCTACATTTCAAGTCACAAATGACATTTGTTAGATTTGTAACCTTTGTAGGAACTGAGATAACATTTTATTTTCAACCCCACAATTTTAATATGTTTTATGTCATTCTTCACAAAATGGGCCATACCTGGTTGTCTTGTAGTATCCATGTGCAACGAATATCATTTTGAATATCTGTTTATATAGAAAATAGAAGTATAAACATTGAGGCAATGTAAATAGTGTGAGATAGTCTTTTCTTTTTGTGGAATACTTTTTTAGTGTTATGTATGTTTGAAAAAGTTATTTTAAAAAATAAATATGTGCTTATAGCTGGCTTTTACAAAACATTAGGCTTAATGAAAGTATGTTTCCAGAGTAAAGATGATTTAGATTTCACCTTAGAGTTTATCCCAGGTGTAAGTACATCAATTTTTGGCTGTTTTTGTTTTTTGCTACTGGTTTCACTTTTCAAATAGATGGGCAAAGTGAAATATAAAAAATTATTTCAAAAATCTATCTATGATTCAGTGTGTGTGTGTGTTACTCTTTCTAAGCTGCTGGTTGCACAAACTTCTAAATGGTACCAAATGAATTGTCTTGGTCCCAAGGTTTGCACAAAGGTAAAATGTTTAACCCCACCCCTTGGGAAACCTAGGAATTTCCCCAAAACACCTTCTTCTAAATTGATGGACTCCCCAACTTCTAAATGGTGCCAATCAAATCGTCTCAGCCCCAAGGTTTGCACAAAGGTAAACATTTTCACGTAATTCCTTAGAGATCTTGGGTATATTGTGAAAACACTTCTATGGGGATTCTACAAAAGTGTACCCCAAATTTGGCATTAATTTACATTAGAGTATGTAAATACATAGATCTACTAATTACTGTTCTAACTTGGTTAAAGAAATTAAACTTGCATTATAGTGGCAGTGGTCATTAAACTGAAAAAGTGCATTATAGTGACCCTGTAAATGTGGGCCATAGGCCCTGGGTTTGCTAAATGGTGCCAAATGAATCATTTCAGCCCCAAGGTATGCACATAGGTAAAACTTTTCACCCAACCCCTTAAGGAACCTGGATATTTCGCAAAAACACTTTTTCAGGAATTCCCTGAAAAAGGATTCCAAATTTGGTATGGATTTTCATTAGAGCACATAAATAAGTAGGCCTACTAATTACTATATGTAACTTGGTTACAGAAATTAAATTTGCCTTATAACAGCCTTGTAAATGTAGGCTGTAGGCCCATGAGTTCAATAGTTTAAATAACTTCAAAATGTTTGGATATGTAAAAAATCAAACATTTTAAGCAATAATAACAAAACAAAATTGAGTCTACTGATTTACTTGTTATATTTCAGTAGTTTTTATTACAATATATTAAGTAAGTTATGACAGACACAAAAATAATGTATGATGGTATTTTAGAATCATGTACACAAAAGTTGTAGATTTAGTACAATAAAACTTGGTCATATAAACAAGGTTTTAGAAATATGGTAAAAATAGGAACTGTAGAATGTAAGTAAAAACTTCCTTTTTTCATTGTTCACACTGAAATATTATTTAATGGAAAATTTTGTGAGATTACAAGCAATTTTCTAATATAAGTTGTGTCTCAACTACTTTGTCATTACCAGTTGGGCTGAAGACCCCTGGTATTGGGTGAAAGGTCTCATCAGCATTGCATTGTAGAAAACGGTGTATTATGTACTTTACTTTCACTCAAATGATCTTGTCAATAAGTAAAAAGATATTACACCAAATATTTGATTTCTTTTAAAGAGTAACCTGTAACTATTTACAAACTGTGTTCTAAATATCTTTCCATTAGATATATTAAGTTGACTTATACAGACACAACTTAATGTATATTCCATTGTCTCTACTAATAACAATTTATTAGATCAGTTGTAATACCTCTCTGAGTCACAAATCTTCTATAAATTACAATCTAATATGTTCCCCAGTCTGTTCTGATAAGGTATTATTCAGTCACACACACACAACCTTTTCTATGCTGGCAGGGTTTCATTAGATTAGTTTTGATTTTTTATATAAATCACAACTTTTTGTTTTTCCAAGTCTGTACTGGAAGGGTTTTGTTAGATCAGTTGTGTGATGTCTGTATCATTCATAACATTATATCTGATATTTCAAGTCTCTTTTGGTCAGGTTTTTATATGCACTATTTGTTGAATCTGTTCAGTATTATAGATAAGTTTTGATTTGTGTGATTTTAGTTTCACTATTGGCAAAATTCTTTGAGAGGTTTTGAATTATTTTGAAAAGATCCTCATGAAACTAATCTAGAATTTGGTTTGTAAGCCAGTGGCATATTGGCAATGTTTGTGTGTTGTTCATCACAAAGCTACACAGTGGACTGACTACCTGTACTGTACCCACCATGAGTAATAAAACCCAATTGTTTTAGTGGGATAAGCCCTCAGACTTACCATTGAGTCACTGGAAGAGGTGCATATTTTGTACAGCATAGTAATTTCATTATTGAACTCAATAGTTTGTTGATTTTAAGTTTAGAATCTCTTTCTCAAGATAATAAATAATTCAGTAAGTAATTTGTTGGCAACATGACACTGATTGAGCTGTTACCTTTCTCATAAAATGTTGGAGAGAACTGTATTTAAACTATGCACAAGTAAAACATCTGTAATCAGATCTACAGTGTATATTGTATTCCTGATGAGTAACTTTTGAATGACCCATGTTCTAGCGCACATACACTCATTACTTATGTTGTTAATATGAACATTATAGTTTAATTTTATTCGGAATATATTGCACAGTTGTGTTTATAAAGCTTCGTTATAGAAATCAAATACACTTACAATCTGCTTGATGAAATATTATAGTTGTTTTTAATGTACAGTTATTTTTTTTTACATGTTATTACCATGCTTGTGGTTACTTAATGAACACACTGTACTTTTTAAGCTGCTGCAATACCTTACTATGTTTAAATAGACTTTTAGAGAATGCTGTAAATACATATGCTTAAGAGAACTATCTCAGCTATATAGTCTACCTTGTAAACAGTTGACATTGGGACATGTGTTGCAATAATAAACATTCATTTTATAACATAAATACAATTGTATAAGTCTTTCTCAATTCCTTGATGACATTTGTTTTCTCTCTAATCTATGTAGGAGGTTCACAAGAGATTTCCCAAAGGTGTGCCTTTGTTAGACCCTATAGAAGACATGGGGATAAAGGAGAAAGGTTTCAAAGATATTGTTAGGGTGTGTAAAAACCCATATTTTATACAGGTCTCTTACACCTTCCTAGTTCAAGAATATTATTTTCAAACATTTCTTACAAAAAATTTATGTCACTAATGGTTATATTAAAATACCAAGTCAGCATTTCTTACAAGTTAAGAACATTTTTTTAAGTTTACTGAGTATTTTTTGAACTTTTGTTATGCAGTATGATTTATTTGTTAAACCTACAATTTTTTTTGTCAAATTATTCAGTGCTTGTGAATTGAATTGAATTGATTTGATTTTCTTGTTATATCACTTACTAAAATTGGACAGGTTTATATGATAGATACGAAAGCTAATTTTGCATGTTCCGAAGTACCTGAATAATTTCAATTTGGCAGTATTTAATTTAAAATGAAGTGCTAATCTCTACACATGTTAATGAACACTGTAATTTTGAACGCTTAAGAGTTGTAATTAGCACTTTATCATTATTTATAATTCCTGAAAGAATTACCTGTATGTTCTTATCTTTATTATTGATTTTTTATGCTCCCACTTCAGTATTATTAGTGCAAAAGACAGTTTGCTCCTGAAGAAGAAAGGCCCTACTTTCAAAAGTGCTTGAGTTATAGGGTTTTTATTTATTTCTATCAAGACTTCTTGAACTTGCATGTTTTTCTAACATCATGAGTGCAAAAGACAATTTTTTTCTAACCCTATGATATGCTGTAAGTAGTGTTCTATTTGCAAGCTTAAGTGCCTGATGCATGAAAGCTTGGTGCTTATATCAAAATCCTTTATTTACAGCAGTGTCTGTAAAATGAGTCTTTTCCACTTTTGTGAGCATGTTAAAACTTTCCAGATGGGTCACGGTTGAAAGGCCATGTCATCGCATTTGTTTACTCGCATTCCAAATGTTATTGAACTACTATTTCATGAATTTATGTCAATAAGTGTGGTATCAAACTGTAGATTA